AAAAAAAAAAAAAAAAAATAGCTACAAAACTAAGACAGCTACAACAAGTGCTGATATTCTGTAGATATATGTAGATGATTTCCTTGGTTTCCCACCCAGGGAAGTGAAGAAGATTGGTTCCAACTAGTTCTCATTCTACAATTCTCACCCTCCCTTTAACACTAGCCTTGAAGATTCTTTGATACTTTTGTACAAACCCAACACATAATTCCAGAAAGTCAGGATGAAAGTAAAAAGCCACAAGCTCCTGGGACCCAGTCTCGGTGGCGTCCCACATCCAGGAGTCTGCGCATAGAGTCTGAGCCTGGGAAACCGTTCTGAGGGCCTTCCCAAGCTTAACTGGACTGTCGCTAATATGTAGAATTCTAAAACAGTCATGGAAATAAGTAGTAGCCCAAGCGTCTGGGACCTGGAAAGGGCCCGGTGAAAGTCTGGTGATGGGTACAAATAAATGAATATGCCCTGCATCTTACTGCCTCCTTCTTACTTTTTATTTTTCCCATTGGAATGTCAGTAGGGTCTGGGTGGAGACAGAAAGAAGCGAGAGAATGCCCAGGGAATCCAATGGGAGAGAATCAGAATAACAGAGTCCTTGTGCATTCCTCAGGCTGCAGAGTTGACTTGTCATTTGTCATCGACGGGAGCTCAAGCATTGGCAAACGTCGATTCCGAATCCAGAAGCAGTTCCTGGTTGATATTGCCCAAGCTCTTGACATTGGCCCTGCTGGTCCACTGATGGGTGTTGTTCAATATGGGTAAGTGCCATTAATGTCCAGAAACAAAGTGATGCCGTGCACTTCATTTTGTGCCATAAATGATTTTTTTAAAAAAAGATCCTAGTGCACAGATTTACCTGTGCTTTATTGGCTATGCAAAGGCATTTGATTGTGTGGATCATTACAAATTATGAATAACACTGTGAAGAATGGGAATTTCAGAACACTTGGTTGTGCTCATGAGGAACCAAGAGGCAGTCATTCAAACACAACAAGGCGATATTGCGTGGTTTAAAGTCAGGAAACCTGTGCGTCAGTGTTGTATCCTTTCACCATACTTATTCAATCTGTATGCTGAGCAAATAATCCAAGAAGCTGGACTATATAAAGAAGAACGCAGCATCAGGATTGGAGGAAGACTCATTAACAACCCGCGATATGCAGATCATACAACCTTACTTGCTGAAAGTAAGGAAGACTTGAAGCACTTATTGATGAAGATCAAAGACTAGAGCCTTCAGTATGGATTACACCTCAACATTAAAAAAAAAAAAAAAAAAATCCTTACATCTGGACCAATAAGCAACATCATGATAAACAGAGAAAAGATTGAAGTTGTCAAGGATTCCATTTTACTTGGATCCACAATCAACGCCCATGGAAGCAGCAGTCAAGACATCAAATGATGTATTGCATTGGGTAAATCTGTTGCAAAAGACCTGTTTAAAGTGTAAAAAAGCAACATGTCACTTTAAGGACTGTGGTGCGCCTGACCCAGGCCATGGTGTTTTCAATCACCTCATATGCATATGAAAGCTGGACAATGAATAAGGAAGACCGAAAAAGAATTGATGCCTTTGAATTATGGTGTTGGTGAAGAATATTGACTATACCATGGACTGCTAGAAGAAGAATGAACAAATCTGTCTTGGAAGAAGTACAGCCAGAGTACTTCTTAGAAGCAAGGATGGCGAGACTTCGTTTCACATACTTTGGACATGTTATCAGGAGGGACCAGTCCCTGGAGAAGGACATCATGCTTGGTAAAGTAGAGGGTCATCAAAAAAGAGGAAGACCCTCAATGAGATGGTTTGACACAGTGGCTGCAATAATGGACTAAAGCATAACAACAATTGTGAGGATGGCCCAGGACTGGACAATGTTTCATTCTGTTGTACATACGGTTGCTATGAGTCAACTTGACGGCGCCTAACAACAACAGTTCTCAGATTAGTTTTCTTTCTTAATGCAAATATAAATGAAACGGAAGCAGTCCAGGTGCCACATAAAAAATTTGAGACTTCCAGAAAGGACCCATTGCTGGGGGGTTAATTCTGACCCATAGCGACCCTATAGGACAGGGTAGAACTGCACCATAGGGTTTCCTAGGCTGTAATCTTTACGGGAGCAGATGGCCATATCTTTGTCCCGCACAGTGGCTGGTGGATTCAAACCACCAAGGTTTCAATCAGCAGCTGAGCCCTTAACCACTTTACCACCAGGGGAAGGACAGGTTAATAAACACTTGTAAGTAAATAGCATTTGTACTCGTAGTTGGTAAAGAGGGTAGTTGTTAGCGTGGGAATCAGGAGATCTGGGTTTAAGTCCTAGCTCTAAAGCTAACACAATGTATGGCCTTGGACCAGGGTTTCATCTCTCTGATCATCAGTTTCATCATCTGTAGATAAAGAAGGCCCAACCCCCTTTCCACCCTGACTATTACAACATGTGTTTGAGGGGCTGCGCCCTGCACTGCCGCCTATAGATGAGACACCTAGAAAACAGCGCTTTCGGTTATAATTTTCTTCAGAGTCCACACCCTCTGCCAGAAGATGGGAATCTTCAAGTGTCTGGATAACCTTAGGCCTCTGTGCTGGTACTGGAAATGCTTACCAGGCAATGGGGCAAGATTGGATGAGGAAGAGGGTGGCCCCCAACAGGCAGCTGGCTGCACCAGGTGACTGTCCCCAGTTGGTTTTATTATTTTACTTAGGTTAGAAATTAAGGTGTTGGTTAAGAGCTTGGCTGCTAACCAAAAGGTTGGCGGTTCAAATTCACCAGCCGCTCCTTGGAAACCCTATGGGGCAGTTCTACTTTGTCCCATAGGGTCACTGTGGGTCAGAATCGACTCAGCGGCAACGGTTTATTGACATCCATTCTTAACCTTTTCTCTTACTGGAGATGATGAATCAGTCTTATTTCAGATATGAATAGGTTTCTTCCTGAAACAGATAAACAAATATTGACAGATAATGAACAATTGAAAGAACACGCATAAATCTCAAATATGAACCATTGAGGGTAGAATAATTATTGCACAAATTGAAACACTTTCCACAAAGGACCATCACACATGATGTGATGCCTCCCTCCCCTCAGACCTGCAGCTTAACGTTGGAAGTAGAAAACAGAGCTTGGTGCCCCTTGCTCAGAGCAGCAGCCACAGCTCATAAGACCCTCCTGAACATCCAAAACGTTCATACCCAATGACATCCAGGGAGTCTCCAGCCCCCTTCAAAGGTTTCCCAAGGGTCTGTTGTAGCAACATTGTAATCAATGTTATTTATGTCAACTATATAAAAATAACCAATTGCTGCAAATGCTAACTCTCAATGTCAAATTATCTATCCTGAGGGTTTTTATTTGAAATAGAATTGTTTGGTGTCATTGTTTTCTAGTTTTCAAAATGTCAGCCCGTTTTTATTCCTAAGTTATTTTTTAAGGACAGCAAACTGACAGCAGGCTTCTCCAGGGAAGAAATCTAAGTGTTTGAGTATCAGCTGTCCCTGGTCAATTTTATTTGGGGTTCAAAGCTTGGTGTGTTATCTTGTGTTAAAAATAGCTGTTCTAGAAGCTTGTGTACACCGAAGTTTGTAGTATAATATGAAAATAAGGTGATAAATATGTCAAGGAAAAGCAATGGCATGAAAATAGTGTTGTGTGCAGATGCAAACATGGATTAAAGAATAAATGTATCAGGGAAGGAAAAAAAATTCAATAAAGACTACCCCCCTTCCCTTCTCCCCCCCAAAAAAAGCCAAAACATTTTTTTCCACATTTTTCTGATATGATCACCATTTGCAGGAAAGATTTTACCTCCAGGTTTCCTAATTCCACTTTCTAAACCCGTCCTTTGCTGTCCCAGAGTCCTCATTAATTTGGAGCCCTTAAGGGAAGTGTGTGTCTTTTCCTTCATTTTCTGCCCCTATAAGCTAATCCATCATCTTCACCCGCCTCCGGCAGCAGGCAGGGAGTGGAAAGCATGATGCACTGGGGACAGGATATCTGAATTCTGCCCTGGCTCTGCTGTGTGACTTTAAGCAAGTCACTTAACCTCTCCATGTAAGTGCCACCATCTGTAATGTAGGGGGCTAGACAGGATGATTTATGAGGGCTCTGCCAGCCCCGATGTCCTGTAACTCAGTGATTAACTGCATCCCGAGACACCGCAGCAATGAACTGTGGATGAACAGAGTAGGCGAGCTGTCCCCACCCCCCTCCAGCCTCAGGGTTCCTATCAGGCCGAGACCATCAATGAAGCTTACACGGAGGTCATCAGGGACAGATGACCCAATAAACAAGGTACACACGGGTTTAATTGTGTTTACTCACTAACCTGCAGTGTACAACCCATGTGAAATTGGGCACTACAGATTAGTAAGTAAACACAATTAAGCCCGTGTGCACCTTGCTTACTGTAAGCCGGTGGTACATACCATGCTTACTGGTTAATCCACCCCTGGAGGTCATACATCCATCTGTGGGGAATAAAATAAATTGGAGGGTGGCATAAGAACAAAAGGATGCGGCTGAAGCAGAGACGCACTTGTCCAGCTGAAATTGCTTTTGATTTCAGTCACCCAGCTTCCTCCTCTGTGTGTCTCTCTTCAGTCCCTTCTTTATCAAACAGGTATTAGCAAGAGGGGGTGGGGCAGGTAAGGGTAAGGGTGCAGAGTTAGATGCAGTCTGGAAGCCTGTGTTTCTAAAGAAGGAAAAGCACGTGCTTACCTGGTTGGGTTGCTGATTTCTTGAAAGGCACTGTGGGCTGTGGGCTCCTACTAGATTCTTTGTTGTTGTTGTTAGTTGCCACCCAGTTGGCTCCGACTCATGGCGACCCCACGTACAATAGAATGAAACATTGCCCAGTCCTGCACTACCTGCACAATCGTTGGTGTGCTTGAGCCCATTGTTGCTGTCACTGCGTGTTTTGAGTGCCTTCCAACCTAGAGGGCTCATCTTGCAGCACTATATTGGACAATGATCTGTTGTCGTGCATAGGGTTTTCATTGGCTAATTCGTAGATCATCAGGCTTTTCTTCCTAGTCTGTGTTAGTCTGGAAGCTCTGCTGAAACCTGTCCACCATGTGTGACCTTGCTGGTATTTGAAATACTGGTGGCATAGCTTCCAGCATCACAACAACACACAAGCCACTATAGTATGACAAACTGACTGATGGGTGGTGGAATATCTTCTATACTCCCACTCGAATTGCCCCTGCTCTCTTGGACTCACAGACCATTGTGGCTTTCAGAACACCTGGATTCATCTCCTCATGCTACAGTGAGGAAATGGGGCCCTACAGAGTAATAACCACTCCATCAAGAGTAAGCACTTGAAGGGGAGGCTTAGTTTGGGGAGGATCTGGCCAAGGGGCAAGGACTCTGCAACCAGAATTTCTCCTTCCTCTAATGCTTCTCCGCTCGGTGACCACTGGTCCACACTGTGCACTGCTCCACCAGAAGAGCCCTTCCCTTGGTTTTCCTTAGGAGATGGGACCAGGCTAGAATTTAAAAGGACCCATATTAAATATTAAGGGGAGGCAAAAGGGAAATAAATTTAAAAAAATACAAGATGTATAAAAACGGCCTTGTTTACAAAATGCAGTGCTCATTCTGCATCCTGACTGCTAAGTGTCCTAGTCAAAGGTCTTTTGGGTGCAAGGGACAGAAAGCCACTCCAGGTAGCTCAGGTGAAGAGAGATATACAGGAAGGAGAGTGCTTACAGGACTGACAAGTCCTGCGCTCCCTCCCTCTCTCG